TTGAAATGTTTTGATTGTTGATTTAATTAATGTATTTCTTAAATTTCTCTTTGCATGATACATAGGATTTTTTGTGAATATCTTCTCAATTAATATACAGAAGATTTGACGACTATCCGTTTAGGTACGATTTTAATTACTTGACGTACGTGTTTACTATCCATTATCCCCATAATCCAATCTAACCTAAATATACATACTAGAATCCAGATCCTTCCTTACCCACTCTTATTTTTTTTAACACATAATGAACATGCCTAATCTCATATAAAGCGTCAAGCGTGGGGTCACATCTAGTTGGAACAGACTATGAGTAACATTAATATCAATTTTTGAATAATGTAGTCACCATAAAGAGAAGCAAACCTATCATCGAAATTCCAACTTCTGGTACTGTTTTATTCAATTAATAGTATTACATTTTTCTTTATAAAATTACATATAGACACGCATTATTAACTACATGTATAAATTCGGAACTCATCCAAATTTTTTGAATAATACATATCTCCTCCCACACCATCTATACAAAATATGTCTGTTCTGAAATGTTAATAGAAATCCTATATATAAAAGATGAGTTTACACTCACAAGGCAATTACACATAAGCACTCTCCTTTTTGACACATCACTTCTAATTTTTATAATTAGGATTTTTGAAATTTTAATCGCAGTCAACCACATTTTAATGACATTAAAAAGCATTAAAAAAAAAACCCTAAGTATGAGACGTATCACGTATGACTATTCATCTAACCAAATAGCTTGGTAAAAACAAAGAGATTATTAATTCACCTGAATTATTTACAAGTTTCATGAATTATAATGGTACACTCTTAACTAAATAGAGACAAACAATAAAAGCTCTCATCTTTACTTAAGGGCCAACTCGCCAGTGGGAGTCCTTCTATTTTAACGCTTCTCATGACTTTTCTCCAACCGAACATCTAAGGCCAATGAGAGTACTATATTGGTTTGTTTTATATTTGCTTGGATGATTTGGTGGATTCTAAGAACTTTAATTCTGTATCTAATGGCTCTTCATCAATAAATTTTCTTGGTATTGAAAATTTTATTTGTTTGTGAAACTAAAAAAAAATGCATTACAAAAAACCCGCGGGTATTCACCTAGTTCAAAATAATACATGCTTTTTATGAAAAACAAATAGAATCTATATAAATTTGGTTGTAAATGTAGTTACATATATATTCATTTAATAAGTCGTCGCTTTCGTTTTAGTGAATTGAGTGACTAAAACTAGCAAACTACTCTGCTTTTCGCGTGTCTTCGAAGTCACAAAACACAGCTCCTGTTTCCAGCATTATCACGGGAAAGTTCTACAAATGTAATCTACTCTCATGAGATATGGGAATCTTTCTCAACTAAACGCCATGTAAAAAAATTCGTTTCAAAAAATAATGGAGAAAAAATTAAACACATTGAATTGTGGGAGATGTTTTGGCTGTTTTTAGAAAGAAAGAAAAAAAAATCATTCAAAGGTCTGTCTCTCTCTCAAACTTTGCCCATAAT